GACCAACTACAAAAAACGTCTTACCTCTGTGCTTGCCAACAAGGGTTTCTGCACCAAGTACTAAGTCATGTTTTGCTTGGGGATCAAATACTTATTTCACTCACTGAACTGCAAATCAATTTCTAACCTTTATATAATTTTTTGGTTGGCATTCTGTCTCTATACGTTAAAATAAACCTACCATAAAAATGACAGACCCTTCATATCTTTGAAAGTGAGCAAACTTACAAAATCAGCAGGGGATCAAATAAATATTTTCCCCACTGTATATATACATGAAACACAATGCTATGCAATTTTGAAACAATGTGTGAAGTTGAGACATGGAAACAGACGCCTCCTCACAATACAAAGTTCATTTATAAATGTAAACACTGTTCTTTTAGAGTGATAAAAGGACAAGCTGACATTATAATCATATTGTTAATGAGCTGTTCAGTTTGACAGTTTGAATCCAGTGAAACAGTTAAAGAGTGAACTTAACCAACGAACAGAGGAGGAACCCAGTTTTAGCAGGACAATTACATCTAATTGATAGCCATGTCAATGGGGTGATGACTGCTGTCTCTAAAACATGTGTCACCATCCACACACAGCCCGGCTTTGATCAACCGCACTCTTTGATTACCACACACATCATGACAGGATTTTGTTAAATATCTTAAATGAGATCAGATGCTGGTTACCACAGGAAGAAAACCATAGTACAGTATATACGGATTCAATGCACTCAAAATAAAAATTGTTTGCAATAAGATTTTATATGAAGGACTGAAAAACAATGCAAGCAAACGATCATATCTAATATAATGCAAAATATTTAAATAAATAAACACTTTATAGCCTTTATAGAATTTTTGTGTGACTTTCCGTCAAGGAGAGATCAGCTGTAAGGGCCACATGATTCAAAAGCACAGGCATGTGCTAATGGAAAGAGAAGAACTGTCTACAATAATGGTAGTGTCAGAGTTTAAAGAAGAATGTTTATAGTCCATTTGTTGTGCGTCTGAATGAATTCTAATGACACCCGTGAAACATTGACAACAGCAGCTGCCAGCTTTGATCGCTTCAGGCTAATAAGGCCAAAACATCCACCATATAGGTTAGAGACTAAAATCCAGAAAGATAATTCACTGAACTTTTTTTATTGACACTACTACATGCACAGAAATAATGTGTTTTTGTGATACAAATAAATTAACAGCAGCCTACACCCATAAAAACATAAGATGCATCTACTTATATTTACACATATACTACCGTTCAGAAGTTTGGGGTCAGTATTACTTTTATTTTTTTATTTTTTTACTTCAATAAGAGTATAAAAGAATCTGTCAAACCAATTATCAGTCTAACGCTAGTTGCATTTACTAGTTACATGAAATGCATGTCACTACTGAGTGATGAAGGCCTTATATCTTGGTAGCTCAACCATTTAGATTATGGGATGGTTTTATGTGAAGGTCATCAGGTCCAAACTGTTCACACAAACAATGGAGCAATGGTGTGAAAATTTTTAGCTGTCACATTTTAGTTCCACTGAGGTCTGTGGTAGAAGAAAGGCAACATAGAGGAAGAGAGAGACTGAAAGATGCTGGACATGTGACACAGAACTTCCCTCTGTAGCACACGCACCCAAAATAAAAGTCCCACCAAGAGTGCTTTTTGATCTACAAAAATAAATACAAATTTCCAGCAGCAGCAGCCACTGGGCAACTTCACTAAGTGCATTATGGGATGTAAGTGTGTTTTGATTGTGATAATCATCTCAAGGTGAGGTTTGGTTTTGATATTAATAGTGTTCCCAAGCCGACTCAGCATCTTTAACTAATTAACTTTAGTTTCCTTGTAGCTTCTTCATGATCTGGCTGTTGGGTGTCGCTGTGGTGAAAAGTGTGCCCACAAAAACGTGCGTCCCCCACATGACGTGCCGAATCACTTTACAACAGCCCAGGTCCTCGATCTGAAAACCTAAATGGCGATACCTTTCATCCGTTTCAAAGAGCGTGTTGTTTGTGTATGAACCAAAGAACTGAGGAGAGAGAAATGCAATACAAATGCATAGGGATTGAATGTTTTTAGATTGAAAAAGTATAGTAGATATTTATTTCACTTACTGCAAGTCCAGACGATGGGTCAATGAAATCAGCCCAGAATCCTTCTGTTCGGAGAGCATGGCATATCTCCTTTGCACCTAAAACAAACTGCATACACCACAATTATCAACAATAATGAATGGCTTTAACCATGGAGCTTCCATTCAGTTCTGCTCACTCCGTTTTGGCACATGCTTAGTTATAAACCTTTACTTTTTGAATGCAGCAGCTGACAAACAAACAACAGCATGAGGATAATACAGTGCCTGCAGCATTCCTGCAGCGTGGCTCCACGCCAATTAGACAGGAACTCCACAGTGATGTGAAGCAGACAGTAAATAACACAAAGAGCCGAAGGCATGAACTGCTGAGTCACAAAGCTCTGCCTCTCGTACACACACGTTCTGAAGGAGTTTCTTTTTAAATCTAAAGCCACATAACTTGCCCAAGGACAATACAAAGCCACAGAGAAGGGCTAAATATGATGAATTAATCAGGATATGTTGATACTAAGTGACAGCAGCTGCAGTTAGGCATGGTGTGTACAGAAATCATATTTTATATGATACATGATGTTTCTAATAATATTATTACATATCTAGATCAACTCACTTTAGCGAGCAGCTCTTCTCTCTCCTGGTCCACTTGCTCAGTCCAGGCCGTCATGTCGTTCTGTGTTTTCTGAGTCACTGTGACCACCATCATGCCGGTCGACGGGGCCTCAGGGAACATGGACTCAAAATCTGAATTAGATGAAGAACAGGGAACGCACACATTAATGAACAATAACCACAGGATAGCTACACTACAGAAAAAGAAAATAAAAATATCTGCACAGTAATTATTACATACTATAACACTGTTACATTTTGGGATATAGAACACCACCACCATTCAGTGCCTAAAATGCAGATGGAAATGCTACCCTCTTGTGGTCACATTTCACATTGAACCATTACAAATGAGCTCACCCTTACTGCCAATAACCTCAGCAGAAAGTCAGTGCTTTATAGCAGTCCACGTTAAATCTGATCAACTCAAATGCTCTAAAACAACAACATACAGACCTTTTTTTATCAATTCAGGGCAAGACTGAATGGCACACTCCACACTGGAATGATCGAAGAAGTGTTCTGCTTTATCCACGTTCTGCTCTGTGGATGTTTTATCACTTTCCTAAAAAAAACATATAGAAACACAGAGGAAAGTTTGGGTTAGTATGATTTTGTCAAAATTTAAGCTTTCCATTGATGTATGGTTTGTTAGGATAGGACAATATTTGGCCAAGATAAACTATTTGAAAATCTGGATTCTGAGGGTGCAAAAAAAAAA